GCCTGCACAGCAACTAGAAGCGACAGAGGCAAGGTTGGAGGTGGATAGGCCTATGCTGTTTCGCATCGCTGTAAGCTTGTGGTGTTCTTGCTGATGTGGTATCGCAGGCAGACACTCACTCACTCAATTACTCAGTTACTCCCTCACTCACGCACGAGCTCTCGTGATGGGGCTCTTTGGGTTACTAACTAGTGCAGACCTAATGCAGCGTGACTGATGAAGGAAGCTCAAGTCTAGCGCAGCCTAGGGGGCATGAATGCCTATGGTGTGAATAGCTAAATGCCCGAGAACTTTCAAAATCTTAGCCAGCAACAATGCAAATAGGTTAAGGTTCCCTAGAGATCTGGGCGGTAGCACATCAACAGCTTCAGGACGAGACTGGACTCCACTTGCCTGCTCATTTTTGCAATAATAGTCATGTGAGGCAGATGTTATGGAAGGTACTTCGGTAAGAACAGTGACAGAGAGACAAGAAACATGAAGCAAAAGCGCCGTCTCTGTGGGAACTTGTCATTTGCCAGGCGTACTTGGCGAGAAAGTAGCTGACCAAAGCTGCTGTCTTGGCACATGTATTGGACTCATCAAAAACATAATTCTCTTAGGAGTTGCATTACCAGAGTCTGAGTTGCGAACGCAAACAACAAAGCATGCGTCTCAAGCCTGAGCATGCTGGCAAGCGCAAAACTGTGATCTTGACCTGATGGTGACGACATGCAGTAAGCGAAGCATTGAGAAGAGTGCCGAAGTGGTGCCAAGTGAGGATGGAGGCCTGCAAGCCTGGCGTGCCGCTGGTTATGTCTATACTCCTCCAATCTAAACAGTCCAGGCGGTCAAAGCTGCAGCCACCAAGGGCGCATCTAAGCTCAATCGATCTTCAGCCTGCAGACCAGCCGGTCACACAAAGCTCTTTACTGGTACTGCTGCTGGTATTGCATACTCAAGCATACTCTGGAGCCACGAACCTCGGGATCTGTTGCTGCACGCCAGAGCGTGCTGAAAACTTTAGCGGCAAAGACCACGTTGAAGGACCAGTCTTACAATGTGCCACCAATTCTTGCATGAAGGCTGAACAATTTGACTCAGCTGCTGGCTGTCAGAGGGCTTGACGGCCTGAATCATTGGCAAGTCTGGGTTCGGATCAAGTGAACATGGCATGTCCGAAGGAAGCGTTGTTGTCCGAGCTGCATCCATCTCCCTGAACACAATTGAAAGAAGGCGCCGTCCACTTGGTTCTCCCATCCTCTCAATTTTTCCCCCTGCTGCCATGTCACGAAGCACATCAAGAGCATGTAGTGAAACACAATTGGATTGATGATTTCATGGTGCTAACAGAACATGAAAGTACCCAAAGAGCCGAACTCTGTCCCGCCCGTCGACAACCAAAAGCTGCAGCCCCAAAGCTGCAGCATCTGGTCTGGGCAAGGGGAACTCAAGTTCATCGATGTGACCAGTAAATCTCCGACAGTTACTCCCTGGTCCGAAACTCCCGGTGCCACCTCTGAACTTTAAACAAATCTAGCCAAAGCCCAAAGGCACAAGGAGCGGAAGACCTGCTCCTTATGCTGCAATGTGCCTAGGGGAAATGCTGAAACTCTGGCGAGATGATCCCTGCTAAGTTCAGAATCAACTGCAACATCTGGCAGGCTCCTTTCCAACGGCTGCGGCTTTCCCCAGCTTCCGCTGAGCGCGGTCTGGCCGTTCAGCCATGCACAATCGACAGCTTTAGACGCGCAGACTAACTACGTACATATAGATTTATGCTTTTTGGTTGCTATTGAGGCATGCCCCCAAACCAGCAGAAGCAGAATAGTGTTATTAAGTAAAGTTCGAAAAAAGATACGTTTTTGGCTGTTGGATTCTCTGCATCAAACCTCATTGGAAAAGTTGACTTCATTCAGGATTCCAATGATCCCTTGGAAAGTTCAAAAAATTACATAGCTTCTTAGTTTGACCACGGGACCTCACCCCATTTCTGACAGGTCCGAAATAATGCATAAGAACCCATTGATATCTACCCGAATGCACATCGGAGCCCACGAAAACTTGGAAGGTCCTGAACTCTTTTGAAGTTCATTGCACTGAGTAGCACTCACCTATTCCTGGAAAATCTTTCATTCTAGACTAAACTTATTTCAAACCTGAATAAGTTCAATCCAGCATCTCCTTTTCAGGTGCCAAAAATCTGCAAGATACTTCATCAAGGTGATTTGAGCTGAGCTAAGAACTCACTATTTGCATCGATTTGCTGAAATACCATAATCTTTTACCAAACCTAATTTCCCAAGACACATACTAAAAACTATTCTGTCGAAGGCTTCGCCAGTTCCTGAACATACATTTTTGTTTTAAGACGTATCTAAGTTGAAATCAAGTGAGGTCTCGCCAACTTCTGGAATGTCGTTCATTCTGTTTCAACCCTAGGCGAAACCAGGAGGTTCCGCACGTTCATGGTAGCTCTTAGCGTCATACACCTAAGAAAAACTGAAATAACCGTAATGCAGTGACCACCAATGCGTGCAAGGTTCTGAGTTCCATATGCAACCTAATCTCGAACAATCTAGACTCAAGTAGGACCTCAATCGTTCCCGGAAGATATTGTCTTCTACTCAGTCTTTGTGGAAGGTGTTCATCTCAAAGAACGAAGGAAGAATTACTGTAGCTGAACTAGAGCTTCACTCTCGGAAAAAGAGGGGGGGGGTGTTACCACGACAAGCCCTGGAGAAATCTAACCATAAAAAACAATCTACCACAACGAGACCCGGAACCAGCAGCGACAAGAACGCAGCCTCATACGACAAGAGATCCTGGAAGCAACGGCGAATAACGTAAAAGACTTAGATCCTCCCAACGCCGAAAATACAGAGCAGTCAAGCGGGCCCGAATGGGGCTGTGGGACTGCAAGGGCTGTGTGCGGGAAGGGGGTTTGTGCTCCGTGTTTTGGGCACTTTGGAGGGCTGGAGCAGTCAAGGGGTCCAAATGCGGCTGTGAGATTGCAGTCAAGGGGGCCCGAATGGGGCTGTGGGACTGCAAGGGCTGTGTGTGGGAAGGGTTTTCGGCACTTTGGAGGGCTGAAAATGCCGAAAACACGGAGCAGGCAGGGGGGTCAAGCCAAAGCAATCCCTGAGCTCCTGCACCAAACCCCTTTTATGCCTGAACCTCGGGTAGCAGCAGTTGGCATGTACAGCAGTTGTGATAAACCAGCTGTCATGGACACAGTGCTAACCTGTCGTGCGTATGCAAACACCTGTTGTGCGTGTGTATTCCTTATCGTGGTAAGATGCCCGGAAAAATCTTTACCATATACCGAGCCTGATCAAGGAACTAATGACCAGGTTCAAGCGGAAAGCACCGATTTCTGGAATGTCCTAGATTCTCTGAAAAAGGCTTTACAAAGGATTGATCCAATCCAGGATTCACTTTTTCGTGCTCGAGCCCCCATTTTACTAAAGACTCAGGTCGAATCAGGTTAGGTAGCTCGCGTTTTGTTGGTCGTCCATAAATAGTGTCAACTCTGGCGAGGCAGGGTCCGCTCATTGAAGGACTGACCAAGATTTGGAATATTCTAATCGTGTTATTACACGCGTCCACTTAGAGTTTCGCTGCTAATGATTTCATGGGCAACTTGCTTAACAACATTGTACAGCACCCACGTTCGATTCAGAAGACCTATCCAATCATTGGATTTCCTGGCAATTTCCAACTACGGAAACCTATTGGAACCATTTGAACGATGTAATTTGTCCACGGTTTTCTTCTAAAATGAAAATGTGTCTTGTAATCACTGGAAACGTATCATAATTTCTCAGGAAACCTACTCAAATCGTTGGAAGCATTTCAATTTTTCATGGTCTTTAGGAACCATTGGAAATGTCCGATGCTTCCGATATTTCCAATCAATAATTCCAATGATTTCAGAAGATGCGCAGATGTTCTATCCCAGGACATCTAGAAAGTCCCGGAAAATTGGAACCGTGGGAAATCTCAATATTCTCTTAGAAAACCTTTTTCCGAATCATTGAAATTTTTGGAGATCCCTCAAAACTGCAGTGATTTGAATAGGTTTCCTTCAAAATCATTGCCTTTTGCGAAGGACTCCAAAGGATATCATCCAGCTGAAAACTATTTGAAGAAATGGAAGCATTGGACATCTCTAATGGAATAATCCATTCGCAAATTCAAATGGTTCGAATGATGTTCAAAACATTGCGTGGGGCCCCATCCTAACGTTTCCAGAAGATCATCGGAATCTATCTTTGGCAGTTCCCAGTGGTTTCGTAGGAAACCTATTCAATCATCACAATTCTTGGAATCAGCGAACACTTATCAGATTTTCTCAGGAAACCTATCCAAGGCGTTGGAAGCATTGGATATTTCCCTGATTTCTTCGGAAACATATTAACATCATTGAGACTATTCGAAATGTCCGATGCACCCGAAATTTCCAATGATTCTCACACCAGTGATATACAGTGGAATCATTGGCAAAAATCGCGTGAGCTTCAGGAAGCGTACTGGAATCACTCGCAATTTCCCATGGTTCCAGTGGGGCCACATTGGAAGACATGCAGAATGTCCTCGGAATCATTGGCAGTTTCCAATGGTTTCTTTCAATACCTATGAAATCACTGGAATCCGCGGCAATCTCCCATGATGTCTTAGGAGACGCATTGAAATCATTGGAATGACGCGACAGTTCCACTGATTTTGAGGGAAGTTGGAACCCTTGGAAATGTCCAATGACGTCTTCGGATCCCAATCTGAAGCATTGGAACCATTCAAAATGTCCAATGCTCCGATATTTCTTAATGATTTTGACAAGGAATCGTGGAAAGTTGCAAGGATCCCAATGATGTCAATGATCTTCAGGAGATGTGTAAATGTCGCATCCTGGGAACATCAATAAGTTTCTTGAGAATTCCACGGAAAATCTTAGAATCAGTGGTATAACCCATGATTTCGTAAAAATCCCTCACAAGGGTCATTAGCAAAACAATTTCCACTCAATTTCCTATCAAATGCCATTGAAAGCATTCTCTATGACAGAAAAAGGTGGACCAGGGACGACCCATGAACAGGGGCATGTACCCTTCCTCCGTCAATTCGCGGATTGCGCGCAGGCAGCGTCCACCTTTGCGAGGCACCGTGAGAACCCAGACATGCTCTGAGCGTCCACAAGCCCCGCGCAGGCTGACAGGTCCTCATGTCCCTCTGAATGCAACTGTAGGGCTCTTTCAAGGATGCCTTAGCATGAACCATCGAGCAAACAGAGTGACCTCAATGAGGTGGTCCCTCGCATCCTTTGAGCACACGGAGCTGCATGTAGATCCATTTTTGGGTCCAGTCTCGCCCAGAATCTGACAGTTGGCACACGTTTACTCCACAAAGTGACAGCCAAAAGTGAACGGCACCTGCAACAGTTCCATACTCGAAAGCCTCCCAGCTGCTCCACAACCTTCAAGCGAGAGCTGCTGAGAGATGATGAATCCCCAGTTGCGCCCACCTCAATAATAGTGCTGCACGATATCGAACATCCAGCGGAGAGAAAGCCTCAAAAGACACGTCAGTTTGGGTTTTGCGTCTGCGTCAATCTGGGCCTCGTTTCCGGTCGGCTTAGCAAGCTCAACAATGTGATGATGCAGTTGGCTGTTGATTCCAAGGCCTTGGGCCCGCATGCACGGAACAGGTTCTCCCAACCAGACACTGCTAGGGCTCACACGTACTCTGCATATAGGAATCAGGGCGGACACCTGGTCCAGTGCAGGGCTGCCTTCTCGAAGGAAGTAGCGACCTCACTTGGTTGCTAGGGTCCTTCACATATGTGGTTTACTTTAAGATCCAGGCTGAGCAGCAACAGCTCATATGAGAAGTAGCCCCAATCCTGAGAAAAATTGGAATGCACAATCACTCAGCAGGCAAAACTTTAAAGTTGTCCTCGTCCGTCAGCATGTCAGACAAGGAGTGTGTACAGTTGCGTAGCACTTGGTGCCCTTCTTCAGCCTGGAACTCCCATAATTTCAAATGCAGACGAAACGCAGTTTGATAGGATTTCCTGAGCCCATGGCAGCGTGATCTCGCCATTTCCAATTCTTAATGTCCGCAGTGTCCAACCGGCCTTCACCGTAAAACATTCAGTATGGCCATCAAGCTTATCCTCAACGGCCGCCAATATATGTGGATGTTTCTAGCTTTGGTAGCTGTTTTGTGTTGTCCCTGCCTGCTTCCTTGATTACATGGCGATTCCATTGATTTCTATGATTGTCCCGTTCTTTTCCTGCAATGGTTCTGCAGACCGGTTCAGGAGGTTCAGGTTGCCATGCTCAAACATTTCACTGTTTTTATGTTAGCCACATGCTGTCAGCAAAGTAACTATATTATATCAAGGACAACAAAAAGGGAGATATACAAACAATTCTACAGAACATCATCATTTCCCTGGAGCTCTCAATCTCAGTATGCACGCAACTCTTTCTCTTCAAAAGGATGCATTTCCCCGGATGCACACATCACATTCAGCGATCTTGCCTATTATGATCTATTATGTACTGGCTGCATCTCTCTTCCAACTTAGGTAACGCCGGACCAGAATATCTTTCTTTTTTCATGGTTCTGCGTTCCCATGAGGCACTTCCTCTTTCATTCTTTCACTCGGCTGTTTGTGCCCCGGTAACTGCCACGCCCCAGTCGAGCAGCCAAAATAGCAATTGTGTAAGGCTGATAGGCGCACGGGAAGAGTGAAGGGCTGCCACACAGCAAAGGGGTTAAGCAATCCTTGCGTGAGTCTGTTTGTGTAGGGTGTCTTCCAAGATTTGGTGACCTCAAGGCAAGTAAGCGCACTGTGGTAACGCCTGGGCCTCAGCCCGAGCCTGATTTCACGCGTCCGTCCATTGCCAGGTGCAGTGGAGACAGAAGATGTGTCCCAAACTAAAGGTTCACCATGGTCGCTCAAGCTGGGGAACCCGACGATTAGGTCAAAATGCTGAGAGTGTCCATCATGCTCATCCTGTGCTTTATGCCAAGGCCCTGAGGCTGGAGGACCAGGCGCGGTGCACGTCTCCTCGTAGAAAACTTTTGCCTTCCTTGCTGCGCCTTGGCTGTCTGCGAGGCCTTGGACTGCGTCTCATCCTGACTCCAGCTGGGCCTCCTCAAATGCGGCTGATTGGAACAGTATGCTTGTTGCGTTGGGTTTTTTGCGTGTGGCGGAATCTTGGGCGTTTCACTGTCTGGGCGTTGGCCGGGGTCGTTCCAGGCAGCCGCGAGCGTTGGGCTGCGGGTTGTTTTGCCTCTGGGCTTGGTATCTGCCTTTCGAATAGGGTTGGTCTCGCATCTCAACCGCTTGCCACTAGTCCTCACTCCCCCTAGTGGTTCCAGTGTGTAATGCTGGAGAAGGTAGACCCATCTACCTTCGGTGAGCAGTCCTCGGTCATTATGTGCTTGTTCCTCTGTAGGTCCTAAGGGGCTGGCTCCATCTGTCGTGTGTTCCCCTCCACTTGTTGCGCGCGCATCGTCCTCGTCCGGCTCACAATGACTGACATTGTTAGTTTGAAGTCCTGCGCCGGGGGGTCATGATTAGGTTGTCCCTGGATTTGGTGATCACGTCAACCATCACTGGGATCTGCTCTGTCTTCTCAGGAATGTTCTTGATTTTGCAATCTTCCACGGTTGCCTGCGTTGACCATATCTAGGTTCCTCTCGGATCTTGGTATCATGACAGTGTAAGGGTACGGAGCACGGCGCGCGTCTTGTACATATACGCCTTCCAC